AAGCTCAAGGAAACAGGTTCAAAGCAACACTTTGTGCTTGAAAATATGTGATCAGAGTCGAGCCAGAAATCTATGGGAGCGATGCTGCTGTCGGAAGATGTTTATTGTAATGCTAATGTGCACTCACTGTCAGTTTTAAACCACTGAAGCTAGTCTTCGAACAAATGTTATAATCATTCTGACAATTTAGAATAAAGCAAACGTTGAAGGCTAAATATTCTGTTGAATGAACAAAATATTTTGAATGAACGGTTTGAAAGTCATCTTCTGTCAGCTACTGTTGGGTGTGAATTGTCTTGTAGTAATTTGTTCTGGTTTATTTGACATGTCTGCATCAGTGAAAGCATATACAAGGTGTCTCAATTTTAAAGAACTCATAAAGAGATCTAGTCTAATAGAAATTTTATGCCCAGCGATCAAGCAGTCCCTTAATGTAGGTGATAATTAGAGACAATTAATTGGTTCGTGCAGTTTTGAATATATTTCTGAATAAATAAATGACTGTTCATGCTTAATCTTCTTGTATCTGTAGCCTTTCACACTGTGGCCCCAGGCTATTTTATTTTTTTAAAAATTAGTTTTGGATTATGCTAATGACAGTGAGGAACAAATAATGTGATAATGCGGTCTATGGAGGACTATATTGTAGAAAATTGAACCTTTTGTAATGCTGATATTATGAATGTATTATTCAACATAATGAGTGGAATGACTCTTGCTGATGTTTAATAATGTCAGGGCTGTGATTACATTTGTTGTTGGATGGAAAAAAAATGTTTTTGCATACATTATCAAGATTTAGATTATTGCAATAAATAATTTGGATAGGTTTACCAAACCATTTTTTACAGAGTTTCAATATATTTAGTTTTTAATTCTCACAGATATGCATATTGTGTTCCAAACAAACAAATTATAATAAATATAATAAATAAAAAATAAATTATTTATTAATTATTAATTTTATATATATATAGGAAGGAATAAACTCACATTACTAGTATTGGCTTTGTTTTATTTTTGTACTTGGGGGGAGATATTTTTTATTTTGAGTATATATATATATATATATATATATATATACTGTATATATTTTTTTCTTAAATATATATATCAGGAAATTTAAGGTAAATATATTTCCTTTACTTATATTTCCTTATAAATTTTGTGGACATTTTGTTCCCCCTGTATTTAATAATGCATCCAAAAATAAACCCAGAAAACATATTTTTGCTGAAAGGGATGATCTGGATTCCCCCTGTCCTGTTTTTGCTGTAAGGAATAAGCTTCTACTTAAAAATACAGCAGCGTTTCCTGCTTTAGACACGCCTGCAGCCCAGAATAACATCAGCCGTAATGAGCACTCAGTCGCCGCACCATATGCAGCCAAAAAAGCATCACTCTGTTTTTGCTAAGAAACACACTGTATACCCTCCAAATATATATAAAAAAAACTGTTACTGACAACAGAGGTTAAAAAATAGAATTCACTTTAACTGTGCCAGAGGCTGATTTATAGGGCACCTGCTTATTTTGCAGCATGTTATCTGTTCTCTGTATATAAATGATGTACCAGCCTCACTGTAGGAAAGGTTAACAGATGCAGCATTTGAAGCATACTAAAATGTTGGAATATTTATGCTCTTTTTTTTATACACATCATTAAAAATGTCATGAACTCTATAATCTAATTTAGTTATTCAACATTACACTGACTCTATCAAGCCTATTTATACTGAAGAAAAATTTCATTTCAAATTAAAAAGGTAGCACATCATTGTGTGAGACATTTCTCCCAATACAGACTGTCATGTATGCATAGACAGTTAATTAAGAGTATAATTGACCTTTTTCACATATAAGACGTCATTGTACTACAAAAACATATGCTGTGCCGGATATATTGTATTTGACAGCAATGCCGTACCACACAAGTGTGAGTAACTGTGACTTTTTTTTTTTTTTTAGATTTCTGTCAGTCTTTTTTTGTGTGTGTGTATTGTGATAATAAGGATCACATCCTGAACTTGTGGCAGCATCATCAAGAGAGTTTTATCCTGCAGGATTGCAAGATTTGAAGTGCTGTAAGATTGTGTTTGTGTCGCTATTATGCTGTGTGTGGAGAAAGTTTCAGGAGAGCATCGTTCTGTGGATGTCTGTTAGTGGGTTTAACCTTAAATCACTAAACTAACAAAGGGGCGGCTCAAGGTACGTGTAATTATCCTGTCAGACGTCATTTCGACAGAAAGCGTAGGTTATAATGGGGATAAAAAGAGAACACCTACAGGATGTTTTGCGACTTTAGCCTTTAATTCAGGAGAGAGGAAACTTCCTGACAGAAATACGCTGTCAACATGAAAGGTGCATTACTTTTCACAGTCGCCAAAGACAATCAACCCGTTCTATTTTTGACCTGACACTGTGTGCCGAGAGCTTGAGTCTGACATCACTAAGCGAGGATATGTTTGCTTTATTGTCTAAAATTTGAGCGTGACTCATTTTTGCTCTTTGCTGTTGTTTCTGACTTGTGGTCGCTGCCAGAGAGCTGCTCTCACAACCTCTGACCGGTTAAAAATGTGTTGTTCTGGGAAATCCATGATATGAAAGTTGGGGTTAATGGGGGGGAAGGAAGTGCATATATAAGATTGAGTCATTTCGGTTCGTGAAAGAAGGGTGGAGGATATTGCTTCACCTCTTTGCACTTATCAACACTGAATCGCAGGAGATTGTCTGCCTAGATTTCAGCATAGTTGCAACATAACTGAAAGTACGTAAATTTTTTTTTACTCACACATCAGCACACACACTGCCGAACGCAATCCTGTCTTTCTAAATATAGTTCTAACCCTGATTTGCACAAAGACAAGAGAAAGACTGAGCTGTCGTCTTTAAAAAGGCTCAGTGGAGCAACCTGTTAGTGCCCCCGTTCCGCGCCCTAAACTCCTCCGCCTGATACCGAGCAATTCAATTAATGCTCATCTGTCCAGTGAAAGCCCCGTACAGGCATGCATGGCATTATAAAGAAGTACGCGGTTAAACAACAGCCATCTGCGTGAGGCAGGCAGGCAGGCCTGTTGCTCGCTCTGTGGGTCAGCTATTCTTAGTATGTTATTTTCAGTTTATAGCATTAGAGTGCTAAGATTAGCCACCGTGGCGCTCTGCTATCATACCATCTCCACAAACTCTTAATATAACCGTACAGTGGAACAGTTATTAACAGAGAGTTTTGTCACCGTCATGTGATATGCGGTTAGGATTTACATCTGTTATTGTTGACCAGGGGTCTGCTTGGTAAAAATGTCCGTTTCTTCTTTTTGTGTTTCAATTCTGTCGTTCTGCTGGATGCAAATAGAACTGCTGCCAAATTCCGAGTGTGGGGAATCTGAAGTAGTTTTCATAACATTGACTGTGATCTTTTCACTCTGTGATCAAAAGACGAACTGCAATTAATGTGTTGTGCTAACTGAGGCAAATAGGTCAAGCTAAGTGTTTCTTAAGAGTGCCGACTTAAGGATTTAATCTGTAACACTAACCAAGCTCAAGGAAACAGGTTCAAAGCAACACTTTGTGCTTGAAAATATGTGATCAGAGTCGAGCCAGAAATCTATGGGAGCGATGCTGCTGTCGGAAGATGTTTATTGTAATGCTAATGTGCACTCACTGTCAGTTTTAAACCACTGAAGCTAGTCTTCGAACAAATGTTATAATCATTCTGACAATTTAGAATAAAGCAAACGTTGAAGGCTAAATATTCTGTTGAATGAACAAAATATTTTGAATGAACGGTTTGAAAGTCATCTTCTGTCAGCTACTGTTGGGTGTGAATTGTCTTGTAGTAATTTGTTCTGGTTTATTTGACATGTCTGCATCAGTGAAAGCATATACATCCCAATACAGACTGTCATGTATGCATAGACAGTTAATTAAGAGTATAATTGACCTTTTTCACATATAAGACGTCATTGTACTACAAAAACATATGCTGTGCCGGATATATTGTATTTGACAGCAATGCCGTACCACACAAGTGTGAGTAACTGTTTTTATTATGTGGTCACTATTGCTTTGTCTGTTATTACAGATCGTTTGATATGTAGGCAACTGAGTATTTATGCGTTTTAACCTAAATCACAGCAGCGTCCATCTATGAAGGATGTAGGCTGTCAAACATAGACAACTGTTAGCCAATCACAGCAGTGGGTGTTTATTTCCGAGTCTACAATCCGCCACACCTATTCAAACAGAGCGTTCCAATGAGGGGGGTCAAAACAGGACAGACAAATAGCCTATTACTTCTAAATTATGATGTTTTTTGATGTACACATTTTGATAACATTATAAGTGGACCTCAGAGAACAGTATAAACTAGTTAAAAAGGCAGTTCATGACCCCTTTAATGGTGTGTGGGAGGTTCGCTTTTATGGCTGGATGCAGCACAACAAACCCAACGCTTTGATCATCTCTGTAATCAGCAGTAATGAGAAACATCAGTCTATGAGAAATGCATTGCTCAAGGGATTATGGGAAATGTAGTACAGCAGATGAGTCACCATATCCCTGTGGGGAAAGGGAACCGTTTGGACGCAGGGCAGGATGCTTGTCATCCCTTCCTGCTAAAAATAAAACAGCGTGCTTTCGGTATTCGAATTTGTGTTTACTGATTCAGTGCCACATCTGCACCACCATTCTCATATCAAGTCATAGCGTTCAGTTGAGAACTTATAAGTAAAACCACAACTAAAGACAGTTCATGAAAGCTAAGGTGCTTGAAATGTTTATGGTGGTGGGGGTGGGCAGCGGAATAGCTTACATAAATTTGACAGGGTGCTCTTATTCTTGCCGAGTTAAAATTACCAGATGGCTCCACATGTTTGACAGTCTTTCACACATTCCCTATATTAAGATTGTGCTCAGAAAAGATATTTAGCCCAGTTACTGCTGTTTGCGATTCTTTTTTCAGCTCAACTGGCGTTAATACATCAACAGCTCTTCTTGGCTTCATTACACATAATGTTCTTGCAAAGGCATGAGGCCAAAACACGAGGTGTGAGTATGTTTTGTCTCATAACATTGATTTAGTGCTGATGTCAGGTGATGCAAAAATGGCCCACGTCCCACTGTAGTCTCAACAAGTGCCTTATTAACATAATTAAAATAGAGGGCGGGACTGACGAAAAACATGAACGTCATTGCGGTTCTACAGCATCCAAGCTGTTGATTCATTTATTCAAAAATGAATGATGAAATCACAGTGAATCATCAGTTGACTTTGGTGCTGTCACTGGTTCTCACACGTTTTATGTACTAATATGTGAATACTGTACTAAAACACAGACAAAGTTTCCTTTGTATGCACTGCAACACCACTATTGAATGAAACAGTCAGCGTGACCAGTGCAATCACTTTCCTGAATAAAGTGAATAGTGAATCAAAACAATTAGAGCAATCACTGATTCACGAACAAATTACTCTTATGAGTAATTTTTTTTGTGGTGAATCAGAAAATTTCAGGGCAACCAGTGTAGCCTGATTCACAAACTAATGACTCTTATGAGTTGGTTCTTTTTAGTGAATCAAAACATTCAGAGCAACCAATAGAATTTTGTCTATAACTAATTTCTAAATGACATGAAAAGTGGAAAAAGCTAGTCAAAATACACATTTACACACAAACTGACCACCAACCACAATTTTTAGATGCCATTTTTAATTTTTAGCTCAACTCTCATAGAATAGAATGCACAAGATTGTGGGATATCATAGGCAGCGAAGGATATATCAATGCTGCCTTCAAAAATGAATCAGATAAAAGTATCTCAGTAGACAGGATGTGACACGCTCATTGAATTCAGATGTGCTGCCTTCCTACCTGCGTATGCTGCCTGCATGCTATAATTCCTAAACAAATTACTCTAATGAGGTGGACCTTTTAGTGAATCAAAGAAATTCAGTGCAACCTGTGTATAATCTGATTCCCGAACGAATGACTCATATGAGTTGATTCTTTGTAGCGAATCAAATACAGACTGTGCCTGGTTGTTCATATGACAGTGTATATTTAAAGATACACATTATGTGTTTTTTGGTAGCATTTAAAAAAATAAATATATAAACAAATGAAATGCTTACCACATTTTTTTGTTTGTGTTTAGTACTGTTGTATGTTCAATGCATAATTAAAGCCAATTATTGGATTGCATTTATGCCGCCTCTAAAAAAGCAGCATAAGAAGTGTAAAAACACCTTTTGCAAGAACTGATTTAAACTCATTAATGAATTTATCTCATCATTTGGAATTGTGTTTTTCCCCAAATATTTATTCTTAAAAGGTATTATAGAGTTGTTAATGGAAGTGTTGAACTGTGAAGAGGAATCAAACCGGAATCATTCAATTCTTTACAGTTACCATCCTTAGACCTCAATTCATTTACAAGTCTTTTGACCTCTGGTGACGTCAGCGCTTCTCTTTCCAACAATGTGTCGCAATGATGTCACGCTGTCTGGGACAAGGTTAAGCTGTGTTATCCAGAGGTCCATTTGGTCTAACCTGGTCATTCTTAATCTTCAAACCGCCTGCTTTCAGTTGAGTTGGGAGGTGTGAGTGGGTTGACCTGAGGTTTCTTTGCAGAGAGCTTGGCTGGATGGTCGGATCAAAGTGTATCTTTTTAATGATGGTAGTGGGGAGGGCAAGCAGGGAAACATAAGATAAATGAGATATCACCGTGGTGAGCGCTTCAACCCAGCAGGTGTTTCTGAGACTATTTTTAGCTCCATTAGGGCAGCGAGCCCAATGCCTGTGAATCATTGTTGAAGCTCATTGGCTGACTTCTTGAATGCTGTAAGAACACTGCTGCTCTTTATAAAGAGCTCTCTCAAGTCAGAATTAATATTTCCCCCATCATTCCAGGATACTTAGGGTCATCTGTTTGCCTCACTAGAGAGAGCTGCTCCTGTCTCTTCAAACTTGGCTCTTTTCCAAGAAGTGCCGTCACGACAACAAACCAAGGTGAATTTTTGCTAAACACCCAGAAGTTGGCTTCAAATGCTAGCTTCGACCTCAACTGGAGCTGACAGGCATAGCCGACATGTATCGGTGTCGACAGAAAGAGGGAGCGCTTGTGTGTGTGTCTGTGTGTATGTTTGTCTTATATAAGGGATGATATAATATCCATGGGTGCTCTCGGGGAGGAGACACCACACAGTGCAGCTCAATATCTGCAGGAAGAGGAGTCAGTATGATGTCGCCAGCGTTGCCATGGCAGCCAGTTTGGGTGGTGGATTGGGTGTGTGTTTTGTCATAGTCTAAGATTGCACCACTTGCTTTTATGTTGCTATTTATAATCAGCGGTTGCGCATGCAGACATTTGTGATGATGGTGAAGAACATTATGTTCAACCAAACAAGCAAATGCTTTACCATTAATGTATGAATTGCTGCGTGTGTCACAGTAAGTGCCTTGCTATGGCAACTCATTAGAGGAATATTCTAGGCTTAAGAGACACTGGTTCATGGATAGAATTCATGGTTTAAAGGCTTTGCCTCTTTGTGTGTGTATGTGTGTGCGTGAGAGAGAGAGAGAGAGAGCACTGAACAGGTGGTAGTGTGTTATGCCAATAACAAGCTTTCTGAGGATTAAAGTTACATAGCTAATGAATATAGTCTCGCATCTAGTGTGTTTATTGAAATCATATCTATCTATCTATCTATCTATCTGTCTGTCTGTCTGTCTGTCTGTCTGTCTGCCATTTTATCTATTGTTCTATTGTAAAAGAAGATATTTTAAAAGATTGTTTCAACTGGTTTTGTCCCCATAGTGAAAGACAGTGGGATCCAAAACAACATTCAAAATTCAAAATAACATCTTTGGACCCCATTGACATTTAGCTTGGACAAAAAAAAAAGTTTTCTTTTGTGCTCAACAGAAGAAATAGAGTGATGCAGTTTTGGAACAACACAAACTTTTAATAGAGATTACATTACTGTACCTGAAACCATGAACAAATCAATATTCTTAGTTATTGATTCTGTGCAGTTTATCAGCCATTCACTTTATGAACTGAAGCACTCATTAAAAATTGGCCAACTAATCCATCATGCTGACTAAGAGGAAAAACCATTTAACTTAATCATGTTTCCAGACACTTGCTTACTCAGTTAAACTTAAAGTGACTTGATTTCTGTTTGGGGCTTCTTCTTGTTACTTCTTCCCCAATTGTGTAACAACCACTGTGTGCTTTCCCTGAATGCGAAACTTAAATTCACTGGACCATAAGTATATCTTGACCAGCTGTTCTGTAAACTTCTTTGGCTTTCTTCTCCACACCCATAGATCATTCTGTACGTATACACTTTCCATCATGCTGACTAAGAGGAAAAACCATTTAACTTAATCATGTTTCCAGACACTTGCTTACTCAGTTAAACTTAAAGTGACTTGATTTCTGTTTGGGGCTTCTTCTTGTTACTTCTTCCCCAATTGTGTAACAACCACTGTGTGCTTTCCCTCAATGCGAAACTTAAATTCACTGGACCATAAGTATATCTTGACCAGCTGTTCTGTAAACTTCGTTGGCTTTCTTCTCCACACCCATAGATCATTCTTTACGTATACACTTTCCAAACCCCATCTCTTAGTAATTGCTTTTCATCACAGTCTGTTATGATGAGTGTCTCCTCTTATACGCTTTCCGAGGGACTGTCCTCCAGGCTTGCTATTGATTTTCACTGTCTCGTGGATATATATAGTTCTTGGGGCCTTGGGGATGCCCTTTGCTTTTTGTACCCAGTGTATTACTTGTAATGAGGCACAGCCTGAAGACTACAGCGGCAATTTTCCATAATGGTGAAGGTGTGATGATGGCTCTAAGGAGGGAGGATGGTGGGGGAATAAGAGGCAGGAGCACAAACATCACAACTATCTGAACAACAAACTGTGGCACTGCAGTCTCCATTCAGACCAGAGGGGTCAGTAGAACACACTGGACCAAACCATGGCTAGTAATAACCCTTAGGAATTGCACATGGAATGCTGGCTGGGATTCTTATATAGACACACTACTGCAAAAAATAGAGTTGTTTCTATTGTATCTCTGCATATTGTATCAGTGAAGCTCATATGGGGCCATACTTTTGATGACTTTGAGATGTAGTTTGGGGTTCAACTGAGCACAGTATGAAAAGGGAAATGAGGACAATTTTTTTTTTCTAGCATGTTGGAAAATTCAGCTTATGGCCTGCTCACACCAAACTATAACTATAGGGATAATCATGAAGTTTTAAAAAATCACTCCAACTGTAAGAGTCTACAACACAACTATAATGATAATGGCACAGAGTGAATGAATAAATTATCAAGGTTAAAAGTTTTTTTTTTTTAATTCACAAATAATTTATGACTAATTGTCCATGAATTCATGAACGTTGTTATGTATTGGAGTGGTCAATACATGGCATTTTACAGTCTTGACTTGACATTAAAAATGCCTAATTTTCTGATATTGACCTTGTCATGAGGGTCTGCAAGGGTCCTCTATATGACATAATATCCGTTTTTTTGTGTGTGTTTTTTTTTTACCATGTATGTTGGTTGTACCACATGACTTTGTTTGTCACACCACATAACACATTCAGGTTTTTCCAATATTAAGAATCAGACCAGAGATATTAAGTAATAACAAAAGTAGTTGTCATGCATATGTATACTTGATCGCTCAAATATCTCTGAATGATTGATAATAAACCATCAAAACATAACAAATACATTTGTACTAAATCCTCCTTTTCTCACTGTTTTTTTTTTCTTTTTTCTCAGTGGACATTAAGCCAGAGGTTCCACTGGCTCTTGATCCGGGCTCCCCATTGGACCTACGTACAGACGTTAGGATGCAGGGTTCGGCCTCAGATCCCACTATGTGGGAAAGACAACTTCAACAAGAGCTGCTCCTCATTCAGAAACAGCAGCAGATTCAGAAACAGTTACTCATCACTGAGTTCCAGAAGCAGCACGAGAACCTGGTTCGCCAGCATCAGGCCCAGATACAAGAGCATTTGAAGGTACCAACACAACCCTACTTTAATAATGTGTGGACGCAACACAAAAAGCAACAAGTACAATACAACCATACAGTCCAACTTGATAAATAAATGTATAATAAACATCTGCCTCTCAGTTGCAGCAGGAACTACTTGCTATGAAGCAACAACAGGAGCAGCTGGAGAAAGAGAGGAAACTAGAGCTCCAGAGTCAGGAGAGAGAACTGGAGAGACATCGCCGTGAACAACAAGTGCTGGTCCTCCGCAACAGAGAGAAGAGCAGAGAGAGTAAGAGCTCATCATCATGATCACCCACACAACACTCAAACACTCCACAGCCTGTCTGTACCGAATACCATCAAAATGTCATCAGTCAAATGACACATTTATATGACATCTGCTTCTTTTCCATGTTCACTTGAGAAAGTGCTGAACAACACAGGATGAAACTGACCCAAAAAAGAAAGAAAGAAAGGAAAATAAATAAAAACAGGGTGGTGTAGCCTAGTCAACTGGATCTGGGCTGGCAAACTGTAATAAGTGTACTGTACATCACATATAATTAAATTAGCAGTATATATATATATATATATATAAATATAAATCATATTTAATTTTCTTATTAATTACATTATTTTAGATATGTATATACCAAACAAATTTGTACAGATACATATAAATTATATATATATATATATATATATAGAAGGTAGAAGTAAATATATGATTACAGATTAAATAAAAATATTTACAATTTTGGAGAAAAATGTGCTTAATAATCATGAAAATAATCTCATAATTAAAAAAAAATGGAATGCACCATTAGATAGTTGGTTCAATATATTACGTTTTTGATAGGATCCCTTTTCGATAAGCAAGACATCATTTCTTATTTTTGTCTTTTGATTTTTAATAAGAGATATGACTGAGTATTAATGTTCTTGACAGGTTTCAAACAATTTATTCACAAATAGATTCATTAGAACTTCAATTTTGCACAAAGTTCGATATAACAGCCTTCAAGAGTGCTTCACTCCTGCTGTCCAGAAGAGGGAGATATTCCTTCATTTGTTTAAAGGTGCTCAAAAATGTTTAGCCAATGATGTTACAGAGGCATCTGAACTGGAGCTTTTGAGAAGAGTGTGTGGGTGAATGAGTAGGAGAGATGCTGTTGTTTGAGGCCGATCCTGCTGTGTCTGGGAGTGGCAGTAATACAATAATTTCTCTGACCTTGAAAAGAAGCCAAACATTCTTTCTGTTTACAGTGACTGTATCACGCGAACCACAGAATGTTAGTCGAGCTCTTTCAGGAATGTCTCAGATTTATTGTATCTAAATATCATTTGAATAAACCCCAGGATGCTCATGGTTTCTTTGTGTGCGTCTCCTGGTCTGACAGGTGCAGTGGCCAGCACTGAGGTCAAGCAGAAACTCCAAGAGTTTCTGTTGAGTAAATTCACCAAAGATGGTACATTTAATGGGGTCCCCCAGAAAATCACACAGAGCTCCAAACTGTGGTACACGTAAGTAACCTTCACATACCTTAAACCAGTTTCATTTGCTGTTTTAAATGAGCTGGAATTTATTTCAGACTTTTCATTTTCAATGGATGTAGCACAATAATAGCACAACCATTTCAATATTATTTAAAAATGTAATATGTTAATAGATAAATCTAAATATTATTCAGTATGATTTTAAAGTTTGGGTTCGGTAAAATGTGTAATGTTTTTTGAAAGAAGACTTTTATGCTCACCAAGGCTGCATTTATTTGATCAAACATACAGTAAAAACAGTAATATTATGAAATATTATTGCAATTTAAAATACCTGTTTTCTATATGCATATAATTTAAAATATAATTTATTGCTGTGATGGCAAAGCTGCATTTTCAGCAGCCATTACTCCAGTCTTCAGTGTCACATGATCTGTCAGAAATCATTAAAATATGATGATTTGCTGCTCAAGAAACATTTCTTATTATTATCATTAATGTCGAAAACAGTTGTGCTGCTTTTTTCCCAGGATTCTTTAATGAATAGCATGTTTAAAAGAACATCATTTATTTAAAATGGATATCTTTGTAACATTATAGATATCTTTACTGCCTTTTTATGAATTGCATGCATCGTTGCTGAATAAAAGTATTCATTTCTTTTTAAAAAGTCTTACCGACTCTTACCGTCTTTTGAATGGTAGTGTATTTAAATACAGTGAAATGTACATAAAGTTTATAAAATAAATAAACACAAGACTAGAAGATTTCAGACTTTTCAAGGTAATAAAATTGAGTTGATTTTAGCTAATAATCAGTAATGTGATACTAAGGTGGATAGTACTAGAGCACAGAAGAGCTGTCAGCTGAATTTATGACTATCAGGTAAGTTCAGTTTGCATCTCCTTTCTGTTCAGGGCCTCCCATCACACCTCTCTGGAGCAAAGTTCACCTCCTTTGGGAGGAGCGTCCTCCTCCTGCAAGATCTCCCTGCTCTCCCCACAAGACTCCCGGGATGACTTTCCTCTGAGGAAGACAGGTAGGTTTCTAAAAGTTGGCCTCTCAAAACTGCCACAAAAACGGTCACTATTGTTTTGTAATATCACCATAATGTGCATTGCATTCAAGAAACATACTACAGATTATATTTAATTTAAGTTTTTGCTGACAAGCTATTGCCTTATGAAAGATAGGAGGAGGGTTATGACTCAAAAGTATTTTCCCCAGAATTACAGGATCCCTTGATTTTTGATCCTGAGCATAAGCTCGTATTTGCATATTTCAGGGATTTATTTTCCTCTAGGCATGCTATAGTACCACAAATTTCCTAAAACTCTAAAGGTACATAATTTTCAGCTATATAAGAGGCTTTAATTGTTTAGAAAATCCTTGACTTTTCACAGAAAACACCACAGGTTTGTTGACTCAGTGTTGGAGGGAGTCTCGTAGGAAGTCAGTATTAATGTGAGTTATGACTCCCACTTGACCAGCCAGTCATGAGTTCTTGCAAAGGCCGAACTGATCAGAACTGTGCTGTTAAGTCACGGAAATGACATTACATTCCTTCCCCTTTGTGTCCCTTTGAATTATGACGGTAAACAATTATACCAGCTTAAATGCTTTACCATATGGGTTGGCATGTTGTGTATTTACATAATTTAGGGATCAGGCAAGGGAGGCTTAATCCTAAATTATGCGGACTGTGTCTGCCAAATGTAAACTAATCTAAGGTAATTATGTTGGTTGTTCTGTTCAAATAAGCACTTTATAGACGCATGAAAGAGATGTGTTTATTGTCTTAGCTTTTGAACAGTAACCTCCCAGTTTCAGCATCCATTTCTGCTTCGCTCCACTGAAACCAGCCAATATCCTGAGAACTAAAAGGAGTGGAAGGGAATCCAAACAGCCTGCTGAGAAAGCAATGGCAGTCCTAAGGAAAAAAAACTGAAATAAAAGAGAGAGAGAGAGAGAGAGAGGGGCCTTGAGCTGTTAAGAAAATGTACAAATATCACATAGTCCCTATCACGCCGTCATGTGGTTTTGGTCATGTTTTCATGTCTTGTGCTGCCCTGTTTTAATGTCAAGGACTTTTATGTTGAAGTGTATTTTCTGTTCCCTTTGTTTCTGTGTTCACTTCTTGTGTTTAGTTCTTGTTCCTTTGCCTGACTTGTTAGTTACCCTTGTTAGTTGCCATAGTGATTCATTAACTCCTCCCCCCTTTTTAGGCTAGTTAACCTTTGTATAAATAGCCCTCATGTTTCCTTTGTCTTTGTTCGTATAATCCACTGTTTGGTGAGTTTTTGCCAAGTCTTGTTCATTGTGTTTCTGCTCACTTTTGGATATTATTAAACTGCACATGGGTTCTCATTAAACTTGCCTCCAGTGGATGTTCATTACACACACAGTATTAAGATCGAAGACATATAGTGTGACCATGGTAAAGAAAACAAAAAAATCTTGAAAACACCTATACAGTGGGTATAGATAAGAATCACCCCCTTTAAAATAATCACATTTTGATGCTTTGCAGCCTGAAGTGAAGACGGACACAGTTTTTGTTTTATCCATCTGTATTTACTCAGTGCAACTTATAACAGCCAAGTGAAAGATATAACACCATGTCAGAAAAAAATAAAAAAACAGTTGGAAAAAGGATCATCCCCTCCTAAAAATGACTTGTAAACTCAATCAGGTGTAGCTAATCACCTTCTCAATGGCACACAAAGCCATTTGACTTTCAACTGTGATCAGCTGTGGTCATTTTGATTAGCTCAGCATGAAAAGAGCTTTCCTGGAGCATTTCCGTCTTTGGTAGTGCAACTGAAGCAAACAATCAACTCTGGGTGGCAAGGCACTGTCAAAAGATCTCTCTAAAGTTGTGGACAGGCACAAGTCAGGAGATGGATACAAAAAAAAAAATAATTTCATGACATTTCATGTAAATTAAATACATATGAGTGTACATATAAACCATTATTTTCCAAACTGATTTTTTTTTTTACAAAAATCATAAATTTTTAATTCATAGATATAATTATGTTTTTGGGAAATCGCACCATACTATATTATTTTACTAATCTTGCCTTGTGAAAAAACTATAAAAATATCTGATATTTTAAGAGACCTTGGCACAAACTCTGTGTTACATGAAGTTAACTTAAAAAACAAAGAAGCTGGATCTAAATGCGAATATGGACGACCGTTTCGTGAACCTAGGAGAGGAGGTAATTCTGACTTTGCTATGACAATCTGGCGCTTCTGAATCAGCTACTGTTTTGTTATTAGTTTAAGTATTTTTGAGTTTTGCGCATCATGTGTGTGTGTGTGTGTGTGTGGGTGCGCGTGTGTGTGTGTGAGAGAGAGAGAGAGAGACAGGGTCACTCACAGTGGAGTCAGCTGTCTTAACCGTGGCTTGTGTACTGCAAACACATACCAGCTTCATCACTGTGTCTGTCACGCGACTCTGTTCCCTTCGGGCT